TCTTTATAAGGCTCTTGAAAATCCAGGGATGTTTCTTCGATCATTTCAACTCCATTATATTCCTCCATTGATTGAACCAATATCCTTTCGAACGTGTCTGCTAATTCACGTTCCTCGTTATTCACGGGTGTTTCAGCAAGATTGAGAATTTCAAATGTTGCCATCAGAAGTCGGATAACGTTGATCGGATTAACTTTCATGNATGAAATATAGAGGGTGAACTACCCTTGTGAAAATTCATTTTTCTCATAGAAAAAAAACTTTTGATGGAAATCCCATGGGATAAATTTCATTGGAAAAAGTAGAAAAAAATACAGAATACTTGTTTTGTTTTTTTTTTTAATCAAAATTTAAAACTTAAAAAATAGGTTTTTCGTGAATTGTGAAATTCCAAACTTTTTCCTGTACAAAACGAAGCTTACGGCTAATAATGAGGGAAACCATTGGGACAGGATCCAGGAGTAGTGTCGGGGAGGTTAACTACCCTTGGGGGGGGGGGATTTTTTTTAATAAGGGAGAAAAAATATCGATGAGAATTTTACGAAACACATTTCGTTCGAAAGCATGAGACAATTCAAAGCACATGATTGATTTGAGTCGCCCAGCGTCGTAACTGACTACGCGATTTCACCTTCCTGAATCGATGGGAAACAGTTTCTATAGAGAGATCCTTCTTTTTTTTCCACTTCTCTAGAAGTCAACGGCATTCTTTTTATATTCAAAATCTACAGGTTCCTCATCCTCCGAACAACTGTCAGGTGATTCTTCTGTATGTGGTCGAAATTCTTTATCCTCGAACGCTATCATTTCGATATCTTTATAAGGCTCTTGAAAATCCAGGGATGTTTCTTCGATCATTTCAACTCCATTATATTCCTCCATTGATTGAACCAATATCCTTTCGAACGTGTCTGCTAATTCACGTTCCTCGTTATTCACGGGTGTTTCAGCAAGATTGAGAATTTCAAATGTTGCCATCAGAAGTCGGATAACGTTGATCGGATTAACTTTCATGGTAGAACAAGTATAGATCACGACACTCACCGAAAAACTACTTTTCTCTTCGATGTATGTTCATAGACTGATTGTAATTCACAAGAGGGATGGAAATGAAAAACATTGACATCGTATAAGTTATATTGATCAGAGTAATTTCGTCCTCAGATAACAAATGAGCCATTTGCATTAATATGTTTACAACTCCCGAATATTCTTCAGTTGTGGTTCTGCATTATCAAACAGAATGGTATTGTCATATATCGCCATTTACGTCTCATTGAAAAGGATATCACATCGAAGGGATAAGAGCAACCGAAATACATTTCATCGTCGATCCATTATTTACTATACAAAATCATCGGCTCTTCTTTGTACCACCCATCCACGTTCATATACAGATAAAAATTTGAATTCCTCAAAATATTTCATCATAACTCATTTTTTCAAATTAGAAATGGAAGCCATTGAATGGAATCTCTACTCTGGCCTTCGGTGAAATTTTTTAGATTAATGGTCATTACTGATTTCTTTTGAAAATGAATGATATTGGTCCGATCGATTCGATAAAATACCATGAAGATTGTTAAGCCCTCAAGTTTCACTCCCGAAGACTATTTCAATTGTTTCACTTATCATTCCGCGTAAGATCAGTCTATTATAACAAACAATTTAAAACCCATAATTGTTCAAAGAATCGATGTTTTTTACCTTAAAGTTCTAATTTGCGGAAAAAATCCTAAATATGTGCTTTAAATTGTCCCATGCTTTCGAACGAAATGTGTTTCGTAAAATTCTCATCGATATTTTGTCTCTTATTAAAAAAAATTCCCCCCCCCCCCCCAAGGGTAGTTAACCTCCCCGACACCACTCCTGGATCCTGTCCCAATGGTTTTCCTCATCATTAGCCGTAAGCTTCGTTTTGTACTGGAAAAAGTTTGAAATTTCGCAATTCACGAAAAATCTATTTTTTCAAGTTTTAAATTTCGATTAAAAAAAAAATCAAAACAGGTATTCTGTATTTTTTTGTGGCGCGAGCCACAATAGATCAATTTCTAGAATTTATTTCGTAGCGTCTCGAATATTCCAAACGTCGGAATTCGAGACAAACGTCATTCTGTCCTTGTCCCTCACGAAATTTCAGGACATTTCTTGCTGCTGCTGGACATTTCTTCGATAAACGAAGGTATATAAACTCGTACGCTCCCCGGTGGAAAAAGTCAGTCTACTTTTGAGTACGCATGTAAACACTTGCCTTTAAATATACAGTTCTTGTCAACACCGAGTTATTATTTTTGATACCCACACCAAACCGCCATAATTGGTGACCACGACGTGATTGAAGTGAATAGTTTTCTCGCGTTTTCTTTGATTATTAATTATATCACGTTAACGCCGCGACTGTTCCTGACATGACATCCTCATCGCTTCCAAGGACATCGAGGAACATCGCAGACACCTCCACACGCTCTTTGAACGGCTCTCGAGATACGGTGTTGTAATTAACACCGCCAAGTGTCGTTTCGGCCAACCGGAGGTAGACTTCCTCGGCTATCGTATCTCGGCGCAGGGTAGGTTACCGCTCCCGTGGAAGGTAGAGGAGATCGTCAATTTTCCTCGGCCAACGTCCATTCGTAAATTGCGTGAGTTCCCAGGTATGATCAATTTTTATCGCAAATTTCTTAAAGATGCTGCAAGATTTCAGGCTCCTCTCCATGAATACACTCAGGNAGCCATCGTATCTCGGCGCAGGGTATCTTACCGCTCCCGTCGAACGTAGAGGCGATCGTCAATTTTCCTCGGCCAACATCCATTTATAAATTGCGTGAGTTCCTAGGTATGATCAATTTTTATCGCAAATTTCTTAAAGATGCTGCAAGATTTCAGGCTCCTCTCCATGGATACATTCAGGGTGCAAATGTCAAAGGCTCTCACCCCGTCGCCTGGACGCCTGAGGGCGATACCGCTTTCACCGCCTGCAAGGAGGAGCTGTGAAAAGTAACGTTACTGGTCTACCCGGACACGACACTCCCGTGGGCCATCTTCACCGATGCTTCCGAATACGCCATTGATGCAGTCCTGCAGCAATGACGAGGACAGCACTGGGAAGCATTGGCATTTTTTAGCCAGAAATTACAACCTGCGCTGAGGAAACACTGCCCTTACGATCGAGAGTTCCACGCCATCTACGCTGCCGTGCGAAAGTTCCGCTACATTTTCGAGGCGAGGCACGTTACGATCTTCACAGATCATAAGCCGTTGCTTCACGCCTTCGCCCAGGATCCCGACAGAGCCACGCCGCGGCAGTTCCACCGCCTGGATTTTATCGGCCAGTTTTCGACCGATATTCAGTACGTGGCCAGCAAGAACAACGTTGTCGCCGATGCGCTTTCTCGTATCGAAGCAACCTCTGCTGCCGTCTCTACGAATGAGCTTGCCGAAGCTCAAGCCGTTGACGAGGAGCTCCAGCAACGTCTCCACGGTCAACATCACGACGCTCTCGCCCTACGACCTGTCAATGTTCCAGACTGCGCCACGCCTATCTATTGCGACATGTCTGGCGATCTGATTCGGCCTTTCGTTCCTGTGCCGTTGAGAAGAAGAATTTTCGACGCTCTCCATAGCGTTAGTCATCCTGGGGCACGAGCCTCAACGAAGCTGGTAATACAGCGCTACGTCTGGCCCGACATCAACCGAGACTGCCGTCTATGGGCCTGCGCGGGCATCGCTTGCCAACGAAATAAGGTATCTCGTCATGTCTCATCTCCTATTCAAGATTTTCCAGGACGCACGCAGCGCTTCGAGCACATACACGTGGACATAATCGAACCGTACGTTCCGTTCAGAGGGTATCGCAACTGCCTGACGATCATAGACCGTTTCACCAGGTTCCCAGAGGCGTTCCCCATCGAGAACACTGGAGCCGAGTAGGTCACCCGAACGCTCTTTTCTGGATGGATCTGCCGCTACGGAGTGCCGCTTCGAATTACAACCAACCAGGGGACACAGTTTGAGAGCCAGCTGTTCAACGCTCGCGCTCGTCTTCTCGGTAGCAGACATATTCACACCACCACATTCCATCCTCAGTCAAATGGAATGGTGGAACGTCTGCATCGTCATCTGAAGAACGCCATTCGCTATCTTGAAAGCGATTCGTGGGTGAACATGCTGCCTATCGAATTCCTTCTCGGAATTCGCGCCGCCTGGAAAGAAGACCTCGGCGCAACTCCTGCCGACCTCGTCTTCGGTGAACCGCTCCGACTACCGGGGGAATTTCTTGCTTCCTTGCCACCACGCGAGCTACCACCTACCAATATCGCCGATCGTCTGAGGAATCACTTCGCCGATCTCGCTCCTCAACCCATCGCCCGTCNCATGATACACTACGAAAGAGTTGTTAAAAAAGCTTCCTTATGTGTGCAATCGAAAAATGACCCCGAGAGGTGGTCAACTTCAGAGANATGTCTGGCGATCTGATTCGGCCTTTCGTTCCTGTGCCGTTGAGAAGAAGAATTTTCGACGCTCTCCATAGCGTTAGTCATCCTGGGGCACGAGCCTCAACGAAGCTGGTAATACAGCGCTACGTCTGGCCCGACATCAACCGAGACTGCCGTCTATGGGCCTGCGCGGGCATCGCTTGCCAACGAAATAAGGTATCTCGTCATGTCTCATCTCCTATTCAAGATTTTCCAGGACGCACGCAGCGCTTCGAGCACATACACGTGGACATAATCGAACCGTACGTTCCGTTCAGAGGGTATCGCAACTGCCTGACGATCATAGACCGTTTCACCAGGTTCCCAGAGGCGTTCCCCATCGAGAACACTGGAGCCGAGTAGGTCACCCGAACGCTCTTTTCTGGATGGATCTGCCGCTACGGAGTGCCGCTTCGAATTACAACCAACCAGGGGACACAGTTTGAGAGCCAGCTGTTCAACGCTCGCGCTCGTCTTCTCGGTAGCAGACATATTCACACCACCACATTCCATCCTCAGTCAAATGGAATGGTGGAACGTCTGCATCGTCATCTGAAGAACGCCATTCGCTATCTTGAAAGCGATTCGTGGGTGAACATGCTGCCTATCGAATTCCTTCTCGGAATTCGCGCCGCCTGGAAAGAAGACCTCGGCGCAACTCCTGCCGACCTCGTCTTCGGTGAACCGCTCCGACTACCGGGGGAATTTCTTGCTTCCTTGCCACCACGCGAGCTACCACCTACCAATATCGCCGATCGTCTGAGGAATCACTTCGCCGATCTCGCTCCTCAACCCATCGCCCGTCATGGCCAGAGGAAGGTTTTCGTCTTTAAGGAGCTCGCAAACTGCTCACACGTCCTCGTTCGTCGCGACGCTCCCCATCACGCCTTCACGTCCCCATACGAGGGGCCACACCAAGTAATATCGAGGCACGAGAAACATTTTGTCATTCGAATTAGAGGCGAAAATACCGTAGTCTCTATCGACCGTCTCAAACCCGTTTTCTCGCTCCCAGACGACGAGCACAACAATGACGACGAAGCTAACGACGATTCCCACGACAGCAATACGACACTGACTGCACCACCTTCACCGGAGTCACCGCAACCGGGAACATCTCGACGTTCGTCATCTTACCGCCCATCTGACACCGGCTCATCGACGTCATCAATTCAAAAGCGCGTCAGATTCGCCAAACGACATCAGCTGTTCTCGACAAATCGATATTATTGATTTCCTTTTGGCTTTATTTTGCTTTCTTTTCTTTTTCCGCAGAAGGGGAGTACTTGTGGCGCTAACCACAATAGATTAATTTCTTTAATTTATTTCGTAGCGTCTCGAATATTCTAAACGTCGGAATTCGAGACACTTCGTGAGACACACATTTCGTGAGACACAAGGACGTCATTCTGTCCTTGTCCCTCACGAAATTTCAGGACAATTCTCGAACCTTCGATAAACGAAGGTATGTAAACTCGTACGCTCCCCGGCGGAAAAAGTCAGTTTACTTTTGCGTACGCATGTAAACACTTGCCTTTAAATATACAGTTCTTGTCAACACCGAGTTATTATTTTTGATACCCGCATCAAACCGCGACATTTTTCTACTTTTTCAAATGGAATTCATCCCATGGGATTTCCACCAAAAGTTTTTTTTCTATGAGAAAAATGAATGTTCACAAGGGTAGTTTACCCTCCATATTTCACCCCCCGGAGACGGTTCTAATTCGCATTTTCATCATTCCTTGTCAGCTTCATGATACACTACGAAAGAGTTGTTAAAAAAGCTTCCTTATGTGTGCAATCGAAAAATGACCCCGAGAGGTGGTCAACTTCAGAGAGCACTTTAACTCCCTAAAACCCAATATGGGCAGCTAAAAAAAATATGTGTCCCTATAACATATTTAAGTTTCATCGAAATCGGAGGGGGACACCTGCGTAGTGTTCCTTGTAAGTAAGCCATGCACTTGCCACTAGCTACAAATTTGACCATTTTGTTTCCCTTTTTTCGTTAGTTTGTAATAAACAGAACAATTTTTTAGCTTTTAAAATAATAGTAGAATAGTTCGGCCATCTATGAACAAAACTTGAGAGAAATAGGTGCGTTCTGAAAAGCGTTTAGGTGGCGTTAAAGACCTGTAGTTTTGAACAAAATTCATGTTGTTAACTCGATAACAAATGATTGAAAAAAAATGAATGTTTTGGACTTATTTTTTACCTCTTTGAGGGTAGACTTTGGTAGATAATTACTGAGAGTGTCAATAATTTTTCAATGCAATGATAGATATCACCTTTATCATTTCCTCCACGGGTATAAGACCATAAGAACTTTAATATCTCTTTGCCGCCCGAAAAATGTTTCAAAAGATCTGAAAAAAAATCATCAAGTTTTTTCACACGTCAACCATCGTTTCCATAGTTGGTAAAAACAAAATTCGTAAACGTCTAATATTCCTGGCAGTCTACTGTATATATGATTATAATAAGTCCATGGGTGGTGTAGACTTACACGATCAGTTACTAGAACCATTTTTGATAGAGAGGAAAAAATAGAAAAAGTGATACGTGAAGATGTTCAAAAGACTGATGAATTCTGCAATCGTAAACGCTTGTATCATTTATTAACAGAATTCTGGATCGATGATGAGCCAAGCTCAATTCAGGATTGCACCAGTTGAGGGTATTCTGGCTAAATATCACATGCCAGTGGGTCAATTGCGCAGGACATCTGATGTCACTTGCAACGATTGAGTGAGAGGCATTTCATCAAAAAAGCACCTCGGAATCAAGGAAAATCTGTGCTGCAGAAGCAATGCGTTGTTTGCACAAAAAGTGGATAGAAGAAGACATCGGTCTATTGTTGCGAGATCTGTGCTGTGGGACTTTGTTTTGACGATTGTTTTGAGATTCATCACACAAAAGAGAATTTTTTAAGAGCTTGAAACCAAAAATCTTGAAATTTATGTGTTTTTTGAAGTTGCGTGTAACAGAGTAAAAATATATAAATAATTATGGACATGGTTTATTTGATTCGAAAAAATTCTCTTGCCCTCATTAAAAACATGTGGTTGGAGGGTCTATACGGCCCTGACGTACCATCCGGGCTCCACTCGCTCATTCGTTTCACACACAACGCTCCGCCTCTACTCCCCGAATTTGACGTGAAATAACAATTCATTCTGAATAAAATACCCTCTATCGAATTTCGAAGCATTTTACAAATAGCATATACATTTTTTTTTTCAAATTTAATTAAAAAAATCAAGTCATTTGATGAAATATAACGCCGGATATGGATTTTTTTTAATCGTTCGTTATAAATAGTGTAATTGACATGGAAACTCGGGATAAAGCTCAAACTCTTCAAAAATCATTAAATTATTATGGAGAATTTTTATAATTTTTTCTCATGTATCGAGATGAGCTACCAACGAGTTGAAAGTATCTCGATTACAGAAAAAAATGAAAAAATGCGTTTTGGCGCACACAAACGGTGATTATTTAAAAACAGTAGAGAAAAAAAATCCAAAATTTTTTTATGTCATACTCAGTGAGTACAACCATCCGTGGAATTCAATACCGAAATTTTTCATCAATAGGTTTTGAAGTTAAGAGCGAATAAACTTGTTAAGAGCGCATATGCCGCGGTGCGCCCGGCTGCTAGGACAATTTGCCTCGCGGAGGTCCCGTAATTGAGGGGTTAAGAGGATTGCACAGTATCGCGATATCACTGGGCGGACTTTATTTTTCAATGTCAAACGTAAAATACACATGGGAATCAACATGATATAGACTTGAGTTTCTTTCTATACTTTTCCCTGTGGAGAATGACACACTCATTTATATACAGGGAAGCTTGAGGCAAATATTCGTAGTAATTTTAAATTGTGTCCATAACATTTTATAAAGATGTATGTAACATATACATAATACATAAACACCCTATAAATTGGTTAAAAATAAGTCCAGAACTAGCATGAATTAAAATTTTCAAACTTCGTTCTTTGAGTTATATTTTCTTGTATTTTTTAACCCATTACGGAAAGAATTCTCAAAGTAACTGACGGATTCATGAATGAAAAAGAGAACGCATAAAATTTTTATGATAAAAGCAAACAGACACTAGATTCTGAATGAAAACAAACACCGCTTTTTGCAAGTTAAAAACTGATGTTATTCTCTTATCCACACTGAAACTTTCCTAATGGATGAAAAAAAACTACATAGAGAAGTTGATAAAATACGAGAATTTATTTAAAGTACAGTGAATGGATTAAGTAAAAGACATTCGACGTTAATACTAACTATTTGTTCCATTTCGGTACATTATGCTTATGGTTTTCTCCATTACCCTCGACTATCGTGAGATTATTATTAAAATGGCCATTAACGTAATTTGCATGGCGACAACGGGACCAACGCAGCCGCAGTCTCAAGAAAAATATGAAAAACGAAAAACGAGAAAAAGAGAAAATCAGTGTAAGGAAAGAAGAACTGTTGTAAAAAACGACTTCGTGAGCCATAAAATGCAGTGGACGACATTTGAAAGCCGAAACGAGATCCTTTCAATTAATCAAATAAAGCACTATACGAATGGAAAAAAATGAAAATTGCTGAATAAAACGATATTTTTCCAATGAGAATTAAAATTGAAATGAAATGGAAATTGCAATAAAAATTTTTCAACTCAAATAAATTTGACATATCCTACTAAATTTTATCATTCGATATCTAGGAAAGAAACAATTCATTCGCTGAATTCATGTGATTGAATGAATTAATTGCGAATAAAATACAAGACAATTTAATTAATTAAAAAATAAATTGATCAAAAATTGAAATACATAAACAAATGAATAATAAATAGTGATGAATGGAATCAATAAATAACAATAATGAATAAAATTTTTGTATATAAGGATCATTTTTCTGTATTGTGTGGACTATACAATATGACAATGTCAAGTTGGCGAAGAAGAAAAGAACAAAATACAAAGAGTAAGATGGAAAGTTTCCAACATTATTTCTAACCAATAAAAAGGTGATGTTTCTACTCCCAGGCATTATATCTGCTCGATCACTGCCGGAAAATTATTTGCAACTCTCATCCAATGAATAAATGGAACTTTTGGTACGTGCGAAGAGGTTCGAGGGTACTGGTAATTGAAGAATAATAGTGATGGTTGACTTTTCTTTTCTCAGTGGATTTCCGCCTTATTCGAATACAGACAAGAAGGTGGAAAAGCTCATCTTTTCTCGTTTTTTTCCTGCTCACTTTTCTGGTGAATGGAGAGTACATAAGAAAGAAATTCGATAGTGATAGAAATTCCTGTAAACTCGGAGTGCATTCTGATTAAAGTGCAATAGCCCGAGTCAAAATTTTACCGGATCTCCCGACGTAGTTTCAACGTTTTTAAGCTACATTGCTTTGATGTCCAAATTCTCCGCCGAATTTTTACCGTACTTTCAACTTATCTCAACGTGAAGGCCCATGGACGTTGAAAAACACTCAATATCCACCGTATATAAACGTACTCTCAACGTCAATGACGTTTGTTTTCTGTTAACGTACACTGTAAGTTTCGACGTCCATATTTGATTGTATCAAGATTATTATTGACGATAATTAAAAAAATTCATTACCGTGTTAAAGACTCACGTAAGTAAATTATTAATGTTAGTACATTAATAACATTAGTTCGAAGTTCAAACAATCGAGCGTCTGAAGGGTGAGTTGGGTCCAAGGGTCAGAAGGGTTAGTTGAGTATAAGGATCAATTGAATATAAGGGTCAGATGAGTATAAGGGTGAGTTGAGTCCAAAAGATTACGTGAATTTAAGGTTCAGATAAGTGAAAGCCTCAGTTGACATTGAATGTCAGTTGAGTTTAAAGGTAAGTTGAGCCTAAGGGTCAAAAGAGTACGAAGGGTCAGGCAAATCCAACGGTGTATTTTGTAAGGGTCAGATAATTGAAAACCTCAGCTGAGTTCAACTGTCAGTTGAATTTACGGGCCAGTTATGTGTAAGGGTCAGTTGAGTGTATAGGTCAGATGAGTGCGAAGGCCCTATTGGGCCTGAGAGTCAGATGAGTCTAAGACGAGGATAAGGGTCAAATGAGTCTAAGGGTTAGATCGATTCTGAGGGTCAGGTGAGCCAAAGGTCCTCTGACTTTTAGATTGAACGGACCCTTTAACTCAACTCAGCCTTTTACTCATCTGACCTTCAGATTCGCCT